CTTCTTTGCTTCTAAATGAGATCGATATTACTAAGAAAGGCAAGTTATTTTTCTGATTGAGAGCAAAAGACTCACTGCGAGGTATTGGTGTCCTGTTGGATAGCCTGTATGTGGGTATAGATCCTGTCAGTCTTAGATCTGCTAGTCGAACTCTTCGTCTTCTCGTCGCAGCCATCACTCTCGTCTAGAGCTGCCCCAGTTAGCTTCAGCGCCTTACCCACTATCAGAAATGGCTTATCAAATGGGGACAGTTCGAGGATCTTGAGTAAGGCGTCCTTTAAAGCATCCCTCAGAAAGTCTATTCTGATCACGTTGATCAGGTTCCCATATCCATCCGAAACTACTTCCTAAATGAAATATACTTTTTTCCATTTAGACATTGTTCCAGCGGCTTTAAACGCAAAAAAGATTGAGGCGATGAAAACTGATAATAGACGAATGTTCGTCGATTGATATTACCATGCTATCCACATTACAAATCCACATCACATACCATTGAAATAATTATTTGGTTTTGATGCAACCTAATTTTAAACTTTGACGCACTCATGATTTTATTTTCTGTTTTTAGCACCTATATGTTAAGCGGAGCTTCACATCAAATTTAAATTGAATTGATTTAAACAGAATATAATGGCAGATCAACTCACTCCCATGTTGAGGTACAGTTCGCATATGAAGAGGAGCACTCCCTCCAGCTTCTGGTGGTTGGAGGCCGACTGATTCTTGATCAGCTGTCCCATTTTGTCCACTTCCAATCGCACTCTACAAAAATAAACAAATTGTTCGATGCATTTTTGGCTTCACAACTTGGATTCTAGTCTTTCTTTTCCTAAATCTTCACTTCTCTTCTTTCTTTTCCTAAATCGCCACTTTTCTTTTCGTAAATCTTCATTTCTAGTCTATATTTTTCTTAAATTCTATTCAACTCAAAACAGGAAACAAATCGATGAATGAAAGTAATTTTATAAACCCATTTTCTGTTGGAACATGAAAAAAAAATTACGGAGCCTTTTCTGAATTTTGGATAACTGTTTTAAGCATCCCAAGGTACGTTAGCATGACATGCATATCTGCATGTAATGTCGAGCATATTTCCTTGTGAAGATCTTGTTAAATTTTAAGTAGCCTGGCCTCTGAGAGACCATTTCACATTTGAACAAATTTAGTGGGAGCATTGTACTGTTATGGTGGTACTGAAGCCACAAATGCTTTCCTTTCCTCAATCCAAATGCCGATTCAGCTCAAAACTGAAGTGTTCTCTTTATCTCTCTATTTATTTTTTAAATAATACGCAATAGCTGTACATCTTTCGCTTTTGCGCTCGTATGTGAAATATACGTCTAGATAACTACAGTTCAATTCACCATTCATAAAAAAAATAGTCGAATGCAAGTTTCCGTCATTATTTTTAAAACTTATTGATTTTAACAATAGATATAGACAAAAAATCTGCTTGAATTTTCTACATGTATTTCCAGTTACATGTAATTCCATGCCCTCGAGTTGCCTTGTCATTGAGATTCCGAATTATACTAAGTTCTTCAGACTTTTTTTGAAATAAAAGTCAGGTGGAAATTCTATTCTTCGCCTCGGCATGTTTCGACTAGACAATTTACACTTGAGGGCTGCATTCAATTTCTCTTCATCCCCGATAAGCTGATTTTAAATAAAATCAAGGTGAAAAGGCTGACAAAATTGACATGCTTTTGATCATAGAGCAGTTGAAAGACTTAAAATGATCACAAGGGTAAACTTGGGGAAGAATATGTGTTTCAAATAAAAACAAATTAAGAAAATTTAGAAAAAAAACAGAAACGGTCGGTTGCTGTGCAACTAGCACAAAACGCTCCTAACAAATTATCACTTTGATGCAAATTTGGGCAAAAAAATGAACTATAGAATATTGTTTTATTAACTTTTTAAGGCTTCGCGTTTTGCCGCAGAGGAAAAGACAATGAGATCAATCATGATTTTACGGAAAACGGCTTGGAAAATTTAAAAAGTTTGCTCTTTCCTCAAAACTAAACGCTTACCAAGAAGAGAACAGCAAAAAATGCGAATTTTGAAGCGAAGATATTCAGACCCGTTTATCTTAACACTGGGAAAAATTCATTTAATTGTTATCTCTTAATAAGACCGAAAAAATTTCAATTTGTTGTCGCTCAAACCTACGCGATGTGTCATTGCGGTACCCGAATTTCACAAAAAAAAAAAACATCCGAATTCAATGTTTCTCCACACATTCGGTGTCTGGACAATGAATGAATAATCTGTTTAGCAGGTAATTTCATGGTCTGTCTGACTTTTCCTGAGGTTGTTTATGTGAAATACTTACAAGTTGAGAATACACAAAATTAAATGTACATGTTTGCCGAAGGTCAAATTAAATATGAAAGTGAATTAAATATGAAAAAAACTCCTGCAATATTCAGTACTGAACCTATGAAACAATGTTAATGATTAGGCACGATACAGCGCGCAAGTTTAATAGTGCACTTAATTTTAATTAAAACATCACTTTTTTATAGCTCCCCTCTCCGGATTTGGAATCTAAGAATTTCTTTTGTTTTCATTTTTTTCGCGGGTGAATAGCCTTAATTGGGGATACTTACGTAGTGAAGAAGTGTTCCTTGAAGCGAAAGCTGAGTTGTTCCGGCAAACAGAGGTAGTGGGACAATTTAGCACCTGTGAACCGGAAGTTCTCCTCCGACACGCTCTAAAACAAAATAACAACCCATCACAATAGTGGTTTAACGTTGAATCTCCAAAGAAACGATACATTTTGTTGGTATCTGGGTGAAAAAACTAAAGACAGACAGACAAAACTTGTCAAAAATATTCTTTTAGAATAATACTTAAATACATATAATGTTAACCCGTCAATATATTCAAAAACTAATTAATTTTTCTGTGTTGTGTATTTTGTTTAGTAACTATGTCAAATTATGTTATTCTCAAATATAGATTTCTAAATCTCGCTTGAACTGATGTTGGTTATATAAACACCAGCGGATAATTTCCTGAAATTAGAGAAACGAAAAACAACTGACCCATGTAACTAGAATATGCGCCAGCTTCTCACTCGTTTCCATCTTGACCTTCCCACAGTTCAGTGCTGACACCAGGTAGGGAACCAGATGGTCGAACAGATCTGGCTGCCACGTCAGAGTGTACAGCGTCTCTCTGAACTGATTCAGAACCGTATCCATATCCTCATTACCCGTTCGTTGATCTCTCAACAATGGGGGTCTCTCTTTCATATTTAGGGATCTGGCCACGTGGTGATGTCTGCTCCCGTTATGTCCGTTCGGCACCCCGTTGCTACTATGATGCTGGTGCATTTGGTGTCCATTAGCTCCGTTATTAAGTCCTGATCGTCTAGAGGAGTGGTTGTTGGTATGTTGTTGTTGAGCCATGTTAGCACCATTGTAGTACCCCTCGTGACCACGAAGGTAACCGTGTTGATGCATTGCGTACATTGCGGCGGAATGTTTAGAATTATTGTTTGGGTTCTGCAAGTTCACGAATCCATTTACTCCGTTAGCTTGCTTTTTGGGAGACTGTAAGGATGACTTGGCGTTTGGCGATGCGTTAAATTTGTGTCCGTAATCCGAGTTCTAAGCATCAACATGAAAATAACATTTCGAAAATCACAAAACTGAGAATCACAAACCGTAACATTGCTAATTTCAAGTTGATTTAACTGTAAACAATGACTTGCAAAATAGCATCTTGTCTTGTCTTGATATTGAGTAATGGAATAAAATGAAAGTTAGTTTGACAGATGTCCTTGGTAGTAGCTTTGCTCTCAGTGTTGCATAATAATATACTAACCACAAGATTGTGCGAGTTTGCACTCATGTATTGCTGTTGCGAGAGGGCCTGGGCGGCCGACGAGTCGTGGTGACGGTGGTGGAACATGTTGTTGGCGGCTGCCACGTTGGAAGAGAGACGCGTCGAAGACATGACCGAGGAGGTCGTTGGCACATTGGAATTCATGGCCATCATGGCCGCCTGTTGTTGGGCCCTAACAAGTCCAAAAAATACACTAGTAATCAGAACTTTAAGGGACAAATTTGACCATTTGAAAACTTGAGACGCAAAAAAAAACTACTTCGAGTAATAAAAAAGATTCACTCGAAAAATATTTTGCACTTGACAACATGAAAATTAAACGGCTCATTTCCCATCATAGAGCATTTCAAAAACACGCTTTTTAATCGAATAAAACTGCAAAATATCTGCAATTGAAGCAAACTCACGCTGAAAGTAAAACAGCTGTTTACTTTCGAATGAAGAAGCTATTTGAGCAAAAAAGCAAAATTACTCGAACCTTAGCTGGTGTGAGCTGGGGTTGTTGTGGTGATGGTGGTTTGACACTGGCCCGCCGACACTTCCGTTCATGTGCGTGTACGACTGCGAGTGCATGAGCATCGGTCCGCCGTGGTGGTGGTGGGTGTTGTTTGTACTGCTGCTATTAGTCACTGATATATGGTTTAGGTTGTGGTTGCTTAAAATATTACTGCTATTACTATTATGAGATATGATTCCCCCAGCGGCCCCTGCCCCTGTCGAAGCACCTGCACCTGTGCTGATACCCATCGCACTCAGTTCATTCTCCAGGTTATCCACTGCATCGGAAGAAGCCGCCGCCGACACGCTCACTCCGTTCATCAACCTGAGATTATCTGCACTGGCATTGGCGCGGAAGTTGTGGCCTGAAAAAACCGATAGTCACTAAATCCTAGTCAATGGAACTAATGCTCGGAAAACTCACAAACAACGAATCACAACACTTAATTGATCGTAGAGATTATTAAAACTGATACACTATTATTAAATTATATTATTATACATTACTACACAAAAGCAAAGCCAAGCTTCGCATCAGTTGCGTTACACCGCACGTATGGGATTGAAAGCTAATGAATAAAAAATGAGACGGAAAACTAATTTAAAAAACCTCGGTAATCAGAAAAATCGTCGGAAATACAACTACCAGCATTAGAAAAGCTTTTAGTATCTACGGAGGGGCCAATAAGTCGACATACGAAGGTAAACGCCTTTTGATCCGAAAGCAAACAAATACTGTAAGAAACTGTGGTCAAAAAAACTTTTGATTATACTTTAAAAATTTTAACTAACACATCACATTCGTGCACAAAATTTTAAAACAATTAATTCTTAAAACAATAACCAAACTTTGCCCACCAAACGATACAAAATAACTTGTCTAGTCCGATAAAAGATATTCCGCAACCATTTAGGCTGAATAAAACTTTTATGCGACAAAAAACAGTAAGTCAAGGCTAGTTAATTTACAAATTACAGGAGTAAATCAACATCACCTGCACCGAAAATCGCTTACAGCTCAAAACAATCCGTGCTGTTGCAACTATGACGACATAACATGTGCAGAAGAAAAGGGACTCGAACCGCAGAACCTTAAGAGTAAAAAAAAACATCTGCGTTACCTCCTGACTAAAAAAGAAAGAGTCTGGACAATATAGTATGTTCAATTTCTTGCAGATTTGCAGAAAAAATTTGGTTCTGGGAAAATTTTCCGTTTACAAGACACTTGCTCTCGCAAGTGCAATAAAATTAGATCATAGAGTTTCAAGAAACAATTTTTGAAACTTAATATCAAACCTAAGAAGAAAAAACAAAACCGCAAATCAAGCAAAATGATTTTTAACGATATAGCATTCACCTGCGATATTGTTGGGACCCAGTCAATTCTCGCACTATTTGTGCATACGGAACGCCATTCAGACTAGCCACTATTAGCGCCACAGATAGTATACACATATCAGAAACACCATAATCAGATACTCGATAGGAAAATTGATGGAAGAAGTCTGCTTTGATGTTAAAATTGAGCCTTAACTTCAATCGCATGTAGAAACTTGATGAAAAGCTAAGCAAGAACGGCAAAAAAATATTCTCGGAGACATAAAACTATTTTTCTAAGACCATTCTGCGCAGACCTCAATTACACGAGAGGGATCCTTTTTTAATTTATGTTCTTCAAATTGAAAAATGCTCGGCTAGTAAGCTGACAAAATTCCAGGATTCAACGATTCAACGAACAAGTTTTATGAACAAATTTTTTTTTCAAATTAGCTCTGGATGAGTTTCATTCACTGAAAAAAGATATAAGCCACTGCAGCCAAAAAAACCTGTTGACTTTTTGATAATCTTCTATTCTAAAGAAAATTATTGTTGAGCATAAAAACTCGAACTACACTTGCTCAGCTCCAAATTAAACTCAAACACTAACAATATTTAAGTAAACAACATATAATAATAACAATAATAATAATAGTAACACAGAGGCGAAGCTGAGCTTCGACCCACTAGCGATACAAAAATGAATGATTATGAATAAAATCAAAGAAAAAAAAATAAATTAAAAAGAAATCAAAAAATAGTTTTTGTCACCAAATATTGCAACAAAAGCCTAAAATATCCCAAAAAAATACCCGTAAACTTCAAAACTATAGAAGGAGCTTTCGGAATGATAGAAAGAAGACAATTATTTAAAAAACTTTTCAACGCAATTAAGTGGGTAAAAAATAAGCAGACAGACAACCATCTAAATTAGCCGAAGTTTACAAAAAAAACAAGCTTTGAATGGAATCGAACTCTTAAGTTTTGAATATTCGTTTCTTGCTATCATTCCTTCTTTTGTGGTCTCAAGCATGCATGTTTCAGCACTTGGAAGAAAGCTGAGCCTTTAAAAAAAGTCGGTCTACGGAAACAAACGCGACAAAAAGAAACAGACAGACGATAGTCAGAAAAAGCACAAAGACTCTAGTTAACAAAAAAGAGGTCCCGGCCGGATTCGAGCCACAAGCCTTTGCCATCTCAAGCAGTTGTGTTAGCTGTAGACCAGATTCGCAGGATGGTTGATTGAATTTGAATTTATAATTAACAAGCGGTAAAAATCCAAAAAATACCTTAGCAGAAACCTTCCCAGATGAAAAAAAAATCAAACTTAAAAAAATGTGATGTCCCTTGCTCATTAGAACACACACACAAACACACCCCACAAAACTTTTTTCGGTCCTCAAACGAGGCTAAAGGAGGCCACTAAGTAGATACGAAAACAAACCGAAACCGATTAAGCCAAAAAAAAGGCGAAATTAAAAAAAAAAACACGAAAACATCAATGAAACTTTTAGAAAACAAACGATTCGTAGATGTGGCAACTAGTCCGACAAAATTTAAGCAGACAAAACAGTCGAGTCAATCTTTCAAAAAAATCTGAAGTTCATCAATCTTTTTTGACATATTGAAACAATACGTTAAATCATCAACTGCAATCGATTTCAAATAAAATTACTCTAACCTCAAACACACTTAAATAATTGAAACTTAAACTAGTTTCACACACTTCAAGAACAAAAAAATAAAAACCATGCATCCAAAAAAAATCTGAAACTTTTATGCAAAAAAAATCCAGCAGAAATATTCAAAAAAGTTTTATTTCTAAAATTTTGGTGTCTGTAAAAACCAGAAAACTATCAAATACATCTACCATCATGAAAATGAACAAAAAACTCTTCAAAAATCTATCAAAAATTTACAGAATTAATTACCCGGCAAATAAACCGTTAAAAATTGGGTCAAATCAATAAAGCCGATAAAAATCAACTCAAATCTAAAAAATTTTTAAGCTGTAAAACAATTAGCAATTCAGTCGTTGAACCCAGCTATTGAATAACAGCTGTTAGACGTGCAAGTTGGGTATCAATAGTTGGGTAAAAAAAATGGCTAGAAATCATTTGGAGATGACCACAAGCTTCAGTCATCCTGTGGACAAAGCTGTTTACGGGAAAACGTCTAGTACCCGAGTGTAATACCCTTGCTTATCGCAAGGGTAAAAAAGAACTTAGGGTAGCACCTAAGGGAGATGCTGTTCCGAGTTCCAGTTTTTCTAAAGTTCACTTGAATTTATTTTGGTTTCGGCAGTTTTGACATATACATATCAGTCTCCATGAGCAATTGTCTTCCAAAGTTTTTGTACACTTCGGCGATCACAATTTTGGACGTTCTATTTCGTCAAAATTGAACCCCATCGTTTGTCTTACTGTATTTTCTAAGAATTTACCTCTTGTCCAAAAGTCGCTTACTTGTTCAATTCTTGCTCACTAAATAACTAGCTTAAAACGTTTTGCTCTCTAAATAACGAGCTTGAAAAAATTGAAAAACGCCCGGCATCGAAAAAAGTTGAATTTCATTGCAAACAAAATTTATTGCGAATGAAATTTTGCCCTGAATCAGTACCAATAGACTCGGAATATTTCAATTCTTTAATTCCTAACAAATTAGTTACCAAAAGTTTATCGCAAGATTAAAAACTTGGATGTCACTCTCAACATTTATCCAATTCTAAAAAAGAACAATACTTGCCTTTATTACATAAGCGAAAGTCGTACACTTCAGTTAAACTAGCAATTAACGCAACTTCGGTGCTTCGAAATTTTTCGACAACTCTTGAAAAAAACCGCATATATTCGAAACAACATCTGCAAACTTTTAGTGTACTCTGACTGCACCTAATTACAGGTTTGGTAATTTAGAACTTTTAAATTTAACTTAATGGGCCTCTCGAGAAATTTGGAGGCCATATTTGCAACCACTGAGAGTCACTGAGAGCACCCTACTATAGGGTTAGGAATCCAAAACTTTGTGAATTTTTCTACACCTAAGATTCCCGAAAAAAAAACGTCTTATCTCGGAAACTAAAAGGATTTGAGCATTCATGTTAAGAGGCAAGATTTGAGACGCCTGGGTGTACGCTGACAATAAGGTTGTATCTTCATCAAATTAGTAGTTTCAAATTTTTTGAATTTCTTTGTAGATAAAATCTTTGAGAAATTTTTAAAAAATCGAAAAACGTCACATCTCGGAAACTAAAAGCATTTGAGCAGTCGCGTTTAGCAGTCGCATGTGGCAAGATTTGCAACTCTTTAGAGTACCCTGACAACACCGAACTATAGAGTTGGGAATTTCAAATTTTGAAAAATAATTAATTTAAACTTTCTAAAAATTTTGAAAAAATCACAAAAACCGTCATATCTCGATAACTACAAGGATTTGAACAGTCATATTTGGAGGCAAGATTTGTAACTCCTTAGAGTACTCCGGCAGTACCCAACTACAGGGTTGGGAACTTCAAGTTTTGTGAATTATTTGAAATTTCTGAAAATTTTTAAAAAAAACTCAAAAATCGTCTTATCTCGTTAACTAAAATGATTCGGGCATTCAAAATTGGAGGCCAAGTTCGCAACCCCTAATTCGATATTGGGCTGCTTAACCTAAACTCGGTAAAATAACCACTAAAATCAAATTTGAAAATCGAAAAAAATTCTTAACCATTGCAATATACGATATAGCTTAAACATGCAAAATTAATACGTTGAAAAAGCTTAAACATGGCGAGATAGTGAAGCCCGCATTTAAATATATAATAGATAATAGATTTGAATCAAAGATAGGATCTATAGTAACTTGTTCAAGGGCCGAGACACTATCTCTTGTGCTTTGTACCTCAACGGATCGATGCTCGTACATGAGTCTTCGTTACCCATGCTGATTCGAAGCTGATTCGTTACAGCTTAAGACTATTACCAAGATAACTCAAACTCTTGTGTATTATTTTAATATTCCAATAACTACATACATACATAAAATTCCAAAACATGTCTCAAGCTACCTAAAACATTCGAAGATATTGCACAAAAAAATAACCGAAAACTGCTCGATAGCATCTAAAAAATCCAACTAACTTCATAATGAAAATTGATCAAACAAAAAACAAATAATCACAGCTCCTTCAGCCCAAGATTTGTACGTGAGGAAGCACAGAAAAAAGTGATCTACAGTAAATTCAATTAACCATCAACTTCAAGCTTACCTGGCAAATTAGCTGCCGAGAAATTATTCTGTTGGACTACTTGAGGCATGAATCCGTTGGATGACACATTGGACATAACCATAAAACACTGAAAACCAATGTTACCAACAAGATATAGCCAAGCACATAGATAATCAGAAGAACGAAACTATCATAGTAAACTAGAATACAGTCAGGAGTCCCTTCATCGCGTATTCGAGTCAAAATCCTAAGAACTTTCTAGATACGGAAGTGATAATGATAAAAAAGACAAAATTAGAGTTGATGTGAGAAACATTAAACTCGATAAAGGTTGCGTTTCTTCAATGCGATTACGTAACTCGACACAATAAAAAAAATTTATCATGTATTACAAGAAAAAAAATCTTCGAAAGTTGTTTTGTCATTTATTGTGCCGAGTACGCACGGGGCATTTGCAATCTGTATTGCCATTGAGATGCTCTATTTAAAATGCTGCCAGCCCTGTGTTCCTCCTATGTTCTAACACGCTGCAGACCCTGGGTTCCTCAGTACATATTCCTAGGTTCTTATAAATCTTGCTCAAAAAAACTTACGCACTAGGGCCTACCGCGCCCTGAATCTCAAAAGTGTGCCATTCGATTTTTACTAGAGAAAACAGGCGTGCGATATATTCAAAATGACGATTTGTAACGTTTATCGGCGAAAAAGAGAGGAATGGTTATTTCGAGATAAGGAAATTATTTTTAAAATTTCGATTTCAGCGTGCATGAAACGTAAAAACTTTGTCTTCACAAAAACTGAACATGCACGAAAATCAGAACACCAATTTTCGCTCTGAGAACAGGACGAAGTATACAGAAAACATAATTACGTATTACGATCTGAACGAGTACGGAAGAAAAGAAGCCTTCCGAAAAAAAATGAATAACGATTGTGCAATTACAGACTGTGAATCACGTCAAGTCGAGTTTTTTTATGACCATTAAGCAGTGCCTCTTGTGGTCTTTTCAAATGTTTTTTACTATCTCCGTTCGAATTCGTACATGTCAAGTTCAATCGCTTTCCAATGTTTGTCCAGTTTCCACTTGCATTCGTCGATGCTCTTGCTTTGCACTGTTTCCTGTGGCAAATTGTTCCAGTCGAGAGGTGCTCTTATCGTGCAGAAATTTTTTCGCATTTCTAGATTTGCTTTACGTACTACTACTTTCCATGCGTTACCTCTAGAATCCTTATCATTCCGCTCGAATAGTCCCGCAGTGCCATTCCTATCATAAAAACCTTAGCAGATTTTATACATTTCTATCATTGTCCCTCTTCTCCTTCTGTATTCCAGCGATGATAGATTCAGTTCTTTAAGGCGTTCGTATTAGGATAGATTTTTTATACCACTAACTAGACGCGTCGCTCTTCTTTGTTGTCCAAGATCTTTTGATGCTTGATCATCCTTGGGTGCCAGATTAAGTTCGCAGATTCAAGGTGTGGCCGTATCAAGCATTTGTAGATGTTTAAAAATACTTGTTTCGTGACTTTAATGAAGCTTTTTTTAATTACTGCTATCATACCGTTTGCCTTATTGGCTTTTTTAGTGACGTGTGATTCGAATGTCAGTTTGTTGTCAAGCTAGATACCCAGGTCTGCTTCGAGTTGCACTTGTTTAATGTTTTCACCATTGATTTTAAAGTTCCTCTCCATATCCAATTTCTTGGTTCCTATTGTCATGTGAACACATATGTCGATATTAAGAGACAAAAGAATTTGGCCTGACCAATTTTCTACTTACTGTAAATCTTCATGGATGCGTGTTACATCCGATTTGTCTTCAATTTGAGGGTATAATTTCGCATCGTCAGCTAATAGATATGTTTTTGACGCTATTTTGTCCGGCATTGTGTTGATGTATATTAAAAACAGTACTGGGCCGAGTAAAGAACCCTGGGGTATCCCACTTTTTACTGGCTGCCATGAGGAGCTTGAATCGTTAATTACCACTCTCTGTTGTCGTACCGAAAGAAAGCCTGTTATCCAGTTCAAGCTTCTTCCAGTTACTCCATACTGTCTAAAAGTTCCGATCAGTTTTTTGTGTGGTAACGAATCGAAGGCTTTCTTGAAGTCCAAGTAAATCACGTCGACATTTTCATGTTTTTCCATTGCCCTGGTGAAGTCATCTATTACTTTCAGGAGTTGTAGTTCAGTGAACGTCCAGATCGAAAACCGTATTGTGCATTTGTTATTAGCCCCTTTTCATTGAAATGATCCATTAAATACTTTCGGAAAAACTTTTCGAACAACTTGCAACATATTGATGTTAAATTGATTGGTCTATAGTTATCTGCCATCATTTTTTTTAACCTTTTTTGAATATTGCAGAAATGTTAGCCAACTTCCAGTTTTCGGGTAATTTGCTTGTCTCCCAAGAGGTTCGGAAAATAATCAAAAGTGGTTTTAAGATGAATTCTCGTATGTTCTTGTCGCATGTCATTCATTGTTAGCTCCAGGTTGTCATCAATGCTGGCGGTTGGTGGAGGGCTGATCTCCCAGTTACCCGGATGTTCGTCAGTGAAAACCGATGCAAAGAAGTTTGAGAGCACTTCTGCCTTTTCGTCGATCTGTGTCAGTTAGCATACCATTTGGTTTTTTCAAGCGGGGATTGATTCTCTTATGGTAGTTTTTTGGCGCACGTAACTCCAGAATTTTTTCGGATTAGTTTTAACTTCTGATGATATTTTTTTTCATGTGTGAGTGCCTCCGATCGTGAGGCAGATCTAACTTCATTTCGTTTGGTTTCATATTTGGTTAAATTTTCGGCTGTTTGATAATTTTTGAATGTTTTCCTGGCTTTTCTTTTTTCTTTTATTTTCATGCCTACCACCCTTGCTAGCGGCATTTGCTTGCCACTGCTGCGTATCTGAATTAAAGGCATGATTTTTTCGACTAATTCTTTCCTGCAGTTTTTCAGTTTTTCCATGTATTTAACTGAACCGCTGGGTCAACTAGATGGTTTCTCATCCCGTGGTAGTCTCCCTTTTAATAGTTTCTGCGGTTTTTACATTTCGATTTAACCCTCTTTACTGGCTCATCTATCTTGAGAAGGACGTGGTCACTTTTTCCGATTGGTGCCTCTAACGTGGTGTCTAGATCTTCTAAGACTATATCTGACATCACAACATCAAGCAGTGATGCGTTGTCTCTGCCAGTAAGCCTCGTATGCTCTTTGATATGTCGTTTTAGTAGTGCGTCTTTTACTGCCTCATTAAAGGTGAACTCAGTGGTGTTTTCATCTTTTAATGTACTCATGGCCTCCCAATCCATCTGAGGTAGATTTGTGTCTCCAACTATTAATGTTGAGTCATTTGACTGTGTTTCGTTCGCTCAAAATGGCGATTATATTTTTTAGTTGGCGGTTGTTTTCTTTAGTTGAGTTTGGACTTCTATACAATACACCAAAGTTGATGATGTTCCTGCCAATTTTAATTTTCAAAACAAGTTTTCACAGAAAGAAGAATTATTTGTGTTCAAAGGGTAGTCAATGTTTTCCTTAATTTAAACTAAAATTCCGCGTCCTTGATCATTTGGGTTCATATTTATTGATTCTAAGTTATAGCATTAGATTTTATGCCATAGTGGATTCCATTTTGCCTTCCAGAATTTTTTGGTTTGCCTTCCACTAGAGCGATGACATCAGACTTGCATTTTCCTTGATTCAATCTCCAGTGATTTCGTGCAGTTTGTCTTGAGTTAATGTGTCTATTTTTGTGTACCAGATTAATAAAGACCGGTTTAAGGTTTTCTCCTCATTCTCATTTTTTACATCCCCCTCACAAGGTGCTCGTAGTCTATTTGTTCCTTTTCGTTTAAGTTTTTTGCCTTTGCTATCATTCTGGCAGATTTTTGATTTTATATTTGGCATTTTTTAATTTATTCAAGTTTTTAGTTATCTCGTTCACATGCTTTTCGTTATCAAAGGATACCAGCAGTGGTCTGTTTGTCGTGGCTTCATTGTTCTTCTTCCCAAGTCGGACAAAACTTGTGGCTGTTTTGTTTACCATTTCGACCGATGCTAGAAATGTTTCTATCAGTTGTTTCTCTTCTGTTAAGTCCATCTTGGTGGGTACTCTGAGGTGCTTTGTAATTTATCATGTTCTTTTTTCTTCTTTTGTCGTCTTGTTCTTCTCTTTTTTGGCTTTTCAGATGCTTCCATCATAATTTCTTTTACTGGCTTGACTTTCGGTTGTTGAGCCACGTCCCATGGTTTCTGTTCAGCTTGATCCTTGGCTCTTGGTCCTGCTACAAATTTGTAGAAGTCATTCATCATTTGGTTTACGTTCGCCCTTGTTTTGTCCAGATCGCTCCGTAGTGTATCCGGTTCTGGATTCTTGTCAGCTTCAATTAGAAGTTTCACCTTTGGTGTGCAGGAATTGCATTACCAGATGACTTTTGGTTGACACATGTAATCGTAGACTTGGTCAGGCATATTTTTGCATGTTGAACAAAGGTGTTCATGACATTTATCACACTCCATTGGTAATTTGACTTCACCTGCAACACTTAGAGCAGCAGGACTTTGCTATTTTTCCGTTCAAAAACGCTATTTTAAATTTAGCTCTAGGGCATATATCTGAAAATACACAGTTTGTATACGGGGAAAGGAAATCTATATAATAGGTTTAACACAGCAATAAGTCCTCACAAACTTATCTTACCAAATCTCGCCGTCCCAGCCATAGGCGAGTGAAAAACAGTGAATGAAGATTGTGCAATTACAGACTGTGAATCGACATGGTCTATAGTCATTTGTTCAAGGGCCGAGACAACTTTTCGTGTGCTTTGACCTCAACAGATCAATGCTTATACATGAGTTTTCTCGAAGTGGAACTTTTAGATTCGTAACAGCTTGAGACTATTGCCAAGATGAAAAATAGTATCAAACTTCAACCTAATTGATGTGATAAAACTTAAATAATATTGTATCTGTTCAGATTTACCTCTTGTGTAATTTCATACTAAATACACTGGGCTTTCCTCACAGACTTATCTTACCAAATCTCGCCGTCCCAGCCATAGGCGAGTGAATTTTCCCTGGCGTTACTAGACGCAAGGAGGAGGGATTGAGCTGGCGAATCGAC